AAGCCCAAGCAGTAACACACACAGACAAACAGAAGCATGTCTGCAGAAAGCATCCTTGTGTGCCTGGAATACACTTCCCACAATGACATACCCATGTATTTTATTTTATTTCAGACAAGGTCTGACTGTGTAGCTCTGGCTGACCTGGAACTCCCTATGTAGAACAGGTTGGCCTTGAACCCACAGAGATCTGCTAACCTGGGATTAAAAGTATGTACCACCACACTGACCAAGGTCTGTACTTTTTAATCCCAATCCTCTTTACATTTTTAGAAAAATCAATGATGGCCCAAAGACCTTTAGTTTATATAGCTTATCGCAAATACTGCCTATTTTAGAAACCAAAGTTGAAAATTTTAAATATACCCATTTATTCATGCAAAATTAAGCTTTTTTTTATTTTAGAATAAATAAATAAATAAGTTTCCTCCCAAACAAATAAACTCGGTTGATATCCATGGCTCTTCCCTGACACTTCTCAAAGGCTACCTGCCTTGTGGAATCTTAAGTCGACACTCTTCTTTAATGGGACACTGAAAACTACTTCCTCACCTTGAAGTCTGAAGGCACCTCTCAGTGTGTGTGTGTGTGTGTGTGTGTGTGTGTGTGTGTATCACATACTGATCTACTAATCCCTTATAAAATGCTGGCTCCAGGCCTCCATTGCTGGTGGGAGTGCAAATTTGTGCAGCCACTTTGGAAATCAGTATGGCAGTTTCTCAGAAAATTGGGACTCAATCTACCTCAAGACCAGCAATACTACTTTTGGGCATATACCCCACAGGAGGCACATTTACACCTCAAGGACACTTGCTCAACTATGTTCATAGCAGCATTATTCAGAATAACCAGGACCTGGAAACAACCTAAATGTCCCTCAACTGAAGAATGGATAAGGAAAACGTGGTACATTTACAGAATGGAGTACTACTCAGTGATTTAAAAAAAAAAATGACATCCTGAAATCTGCAGGCAAATCGACAGAACTACAAAAAGTCATCCTGAGTGAGGTAACCCAGACCCAGAAAGACAAACGTAACATGTACTCACTCATAAGTGGACATTAGACATAAAGCAAAGGACAACCAGCCTACAGGTCACAACCCCAGAGAACATAGAGGACCCTAAGTGAGACATACGTGGATCCACCTGGGAAGGGGAAAAAGACAAGATCTCCTGAGTAAATTGGGATACTGAGAGGCAGGGGAAGGGGAAAAGGGAGGAAGGAAGGGGAATGAGGGGAAAAAAGACGCATAGGTAAATAAAAGGAAAGAAGGAAGGAAGGAAGGAAGGAGGAAGAAAGGAAGGAAGAAAATGCTGGTTCCCTGCCTACACTATAAACATCATGGTGGCAATAAAAAATTCTCTAAAACCAGCTTGAAAAGGAATGACAAATTTTAATCCGAATAACCATAGTCTATCAGTTACAATTTCAACTAAAAATGACAGACCAAAATAGAAAAAAGAAAAATTAAAAAGTGACTGTTCAGGTGACCATGCAAACAGTTGCTCCAGTGTTGTTACCAGGGACATTGTCTCACTTAGTATACAGCAAAGAGGTTTATACACATTCCCACTACATCTCATAGCATCAGAAGGATATGTACAGACATAGGTCGGCATGATGGGTTGAACAAACTTGCCAAGCAAACCTGACAACCTGAATTGACTCCTGGAACCCATGAAAAGGTAGGAGACAACTGACTCCCCAAAGCTGTCCTCTGACCCACCTACATACACACATACACTCCAATGCACACAATAATAACAAATAAACTTTGTTTTCTTGCTTGATTTTTTTGAGACAGGATTTCTGTGTAACAGCCCTAGCTGTCCTGGAACTTGACTTACAGACCAAACTGGCCTCAAACTCACAGAGATTCTCCTGCTTCTGCTTCCTGAGTACTGGGATTAAAAGAGTGCACCACTAACACCCAACTAATAAAGTTTACTTTTACATACACACACAAAAGGATGAAGGCAGGTTAGAAGCACCTACAATCTCAACACTTGAGAAGTAGAGACAACAGGATCAAACAGTTCAAGGTCATTTTCTTCCACATACTGAGTTAGAGGCCCACCTAAACTACATAAGACTCCATCTTCCCTCAGAACCCCTGAAATGTATCAGAGACACCTAGGCTAGGATTCCTGGGTGTGAGTTTCCTAGGTCACTGGTAGCCATGTTTTCAGTTTAGCCAGAACTTTCCACCAACTTTCACTATCTGAAGCTACATCATCATCACCAGATAATAATGTTTTCAGTTGTGAATTTGAGCCGGGCGGTGATAGCTCTCGGGAGGCAGAGACAGATGGATCTCTGTGAGTTTGAGGCCAGTCTGGTCTATCTACTAAGCTAGTTCCAGGATAGCCTCCAAAGCTACAGAGAAACCCTGTCTCAAAAAAATAAAATAAGACTGTTTAAAAATAAAACAGCACGCCGGGCGTTGGTGGCGCACGCCTTTAATCCCAGCACTCGGGAGGCAGAGGCAGGCGGATCTCTGTGTGTTCGAGGCCAGCCTGGTCTACAAAGTGAGTTCCAGGACAGCCTCCAAAGCCACAGAGAAACCCTGTCTCGAAAAACCAAAAAAAATAAATAAATAAATAAATAAATAAATAAATAAATAAATAAAACAGCACTCGGGAGGTAGAGGCAGGTGGATCTCTGTGAGTTCAAGGCCAGTTTGGTCTACAGAGCGAGTTCCAGGACAGCCTCCAAAACAATAGAGAAACCCTGTCTGGAAAAAAAAAGAAAAAAAAAAAAAAGAAAACCAAAGTTGTAAATCTGAAGTATCTTAACAAATAGTCACACTTGTCTAATGTGTGAATGCTAAAAAGAACTAATGACTCCAGGTAGAATAGAACCAAGTTACCCACACTTACTTGAGTTGAAGTACTTTCATGTGAGAAATGGCTAGAGAGATGACTTAGCAGTCAAGAGCATGCACTGCTTTGCAGCTTCAAGGATGAGCTGATGTCTCTGGCCTCCACAGGCACCTGCACTTATGTGCACATACCCACAGACATACACATCATTAAAAATAATTACGAGGGGGAAAAAGGAGCTAGAGAAGTGGCTTAGAGATTAAGAGCACTGGCTGCTCTTCCAGAGGACCAGGGTTTGATTCCCAGAAGCCCACATGGGGCTCACAACTACCTGTAACTCCAGTTCCAGGGTTTCTAATGCCTTCTTCTGGGCTCCACAGGCCCTGCATACATGTAGTACACAAACATACATGCAGACAAGGCACAAACACATAAAAACTTTTTAAATATGCCAGGTAGTGGCACTCGCCTTTAATCCCAGCAGAGATAGGTGGATCTCTATAAATTCAAGGCCAGCCTGGTCTCCAGAGTGAGTTTAGGACAGCCAAAGAAACCCTGTCTCAAAAAAAACAAACAATAAATTAAATAAATAGAATAAATAAAAGGAAATAAATAGATAAAAGGAAAAACTACCAACAACAACAAAAAAGAGGTACTGGAGACACAGTTCTACAGGTAAGAGCAAACCCAGGTTCAATTCCCTGCATCTACACTGTGGCTCATGACCATCTGTAACTCCAGTTCCAGGGGATCCAACATCCTCTCCTGACCTCTGTAGGTACCAGACACACACATGGTGCATATACACACCCAGGCAAAATACTCATACACATAAAACAAACTAAACTTTAAAAAAAAAAAGCAAACTTCAATTACCAAATGTAAGTTCACCCAAAAGCAGCCATTGTTTATAGAAGTCACCTATTGTTAAAAAGTATTTATTCGGTGGTGGCGCACGCCTTTAATGCCTTTAATCCCAGCACTCGGGAGGCAGAGGCAGGCGGATCTCTGTGAGTTCGAGGCCAGGCTGGACCGATAGCCTCCAAAACATACAGAGAAACCCTGTCTCGTAAAACAAAAACAAAAAAAAAGTATTTATGACTGAATTTCAAAGTATAGGAGACCCTTGCATAGGCTACATTTGCTTATACAACATGATGGCTCAATCGGTATTTTGATATTAAGTATACAGTTTGAAAAACAACACTACCACAGTAACAACCAGGACTCTAACTAGCTCCCGGCTGGCCTCCTGCAACAGGTTAGTCTAATGTGACTTCAACTGTCAGCCAACAACACGACATGTACTGTCAGCCTTATGAACCAATTAGGTTCATAAAAATGTCAAAGTCAACTAGGCAGGGAGAGATGAGGGGGAAGAAAGCTCCATCAATGAGGACAGGGCTACTCCTTAAAGTAACAGAACGGTCCTCAGTTCAGGGGGCACGCTGTTTCCACACTCAAGTTTCCTACCTTGCTCCACAGTGAGAATTTAAGTCCTGCTCATAATTGAGAAGGTCAAAAGATAGTATCAGTTAGGTTCATTAGAACCTTTCAGAAAGGGCACAAACCACTTTGAGGACACAGTACAAGTGCTCCATAAACAGGCAGTAAAAAAAAAAAAAAAAAAAAACAACATACTTACCGGGTGGTGGTGGCGCACACCTTTAGCCCCAGAGGCAGAGGCAGGCGGATCTCTCTGGTCTACAAAGTGAGTTCCAGGATGGCCTGGACTGTTAACACTGGGGAAACCCCTTCACGAAAAAAAAACACCAAAAAAAAAAAAAAAAAAAGAAAAAGAAAAGAAAAGAAAGAAACCCATGCACAACAGCAGAGTCCCAACTTCTAGGGAGAGCAGATGGGAAGAAGTATGGAGGCTTCAAAACCACCTAAGTCCTGTCCCCTTCCCCACAGGATGCAGGCCCCAACAGTAAAAGGACTTGTCCCACGTCAACAATGAACCTGAAGTGGGCCCTGGCTAGAAACAGCAGCTCAAGCAGACTAAACAGTCATAGTTTTCTTATGTAAAGAAGTGCTCCACCAGAGAAAGAAACTAATAACTACAGCAGCAAAAACGCTAAGCAGATCTAGCAGGAACTGACGCAAGTATTGTTTCATACAGTCCTTTTGATGCATAAGGGAAAACAATGATCAGAAACCTGGGAAGCACTCACCGTGTTCCACGAACACGTTGCAGTGTGGACCCCCATGCCGCGATGAGTCCCTCTTCCCTGCCCCCTTGATAAAATGAAGGGCCGGCAAACTAGGCCTTCTTTGGTCCCCAAGAACTTTTCCAGGCTGCTGCCCCATAAAGCAATGATAAGCACCCCTTTCCAGGAGAGGGTTCAAGATCTTCCAGAACGGTTCGTGGGGACTAGCAGGAAACAGTATGTACCCAGAACTTCACACCACTGACTCCACGGCAGTAACTGGGGTCAGTCACAGAAAGACAACTTCCAGGAGAAAGGTTGAGGTTCGCACATGTAAACAGGAGTCTGGAATTCTTTTTCCAAGTTAATTAATTGGAAGTCATGTAATCGCAACGCTACCCAAAAGCTTCTTGACTCGGTCTATTTTGCGGGCTGAGGACTGTTCCTTTGCAAGAGGCGAATTTTGGATAGAAATATTTATTCACAGGGAAGTCTGAAAAGGCTCAACAGTACTAAAAGTCACTTCAACTCCCCAGCGTGCTGCAAACGTTGAACGTCTTGGACGCTTCTCTGCAACTTTTCCTGTGGAAGTCACCAGCCCCCTATCTCTCTCTCGCTCCAACAAATTTCCTGCCGCTCTCTGTTCCCTGCCCTGGTCTCCGGAAAATGACACGGGTCACACAGACCTCAACCAGCAGAGCTTGCTCTCCACACTGCCGAGAAGGAATGCATGGCCAGCAACTTCTAAGTCCGCTTTTTAAAAGGCCTGTGAAACCAATCCAGACTTTTCCTTTGCATTAAAGTTTTGGGCTGCACTGAGACCAATGGGGCTGTGGGTGACATTGGAAGAAGTCAGGACATCGGAGGCCGGCGGAAGCAATCTGGGAGGACCGTGGAGACCTCTTGACAGCAGAGAAATGATCTGAATGAGTGGCTCCGCGGTCAAACTTGGGGTGGGAATCGAGCGAAGCGCGGCCTCGGGGTGAGAGAGAGAGACTTCCCCAGGTTGGGGCGCGGGCGGCTTACTCGGGGGCGACGCTCCTCCACGCCTCAGGAAACTGAGTGTCCCAGGTGGGTTGAAACTGAGACCACCCTGGGTGTCCCAGAGCCAGAGCAGAGCTGTGAAGGAACGAAGGACTCCCGCGGTTCCGAACCGGGAGGCGGCCACGGGAGGAGGCCCGGCGCCTCAGCTGCGACCGCCGAGCCAGGGGTCTACCCGAGAGACCCCTCCCCCGGCCCCGGACTCTGCCGCCGCCGCCGCCGCCAAGCCGTCACATCCCCGGCTCTGCCGAGGGACCCGGCTTCTCCAGCCACAGGGGTGTGTGCCGCGGAAGGGCTCCGTAGCCGCAGGACCCTGCAACCGGCTCCGGCTCCAGCGCCTCTCAGGGACAGACACCGACCCCCGAGGCCGCCATGATGGATTACGAGCAGCTCCACAACGAGGCCAGGCCCCGCCCCCGGCCCCGCCCCCAGCGACGCCAGAGCATCCTGCGTGAGGTCAAGCGGGCCGCCGTCCCCGCTCTCCTGCAAGCCGCGGCGCTTTCGGGCTCTCGCCTCGCTGCCCGCGATAGCCCGGCTCCGCGAGACCTTTTAAAGGTAGGTTTTCAGAGCTCAAGGTGAGCGATGAGGAAGCGCCCGCCTCCTCTGCATTGTCACTGGTCTTCCTATTACTGGAGTCGGTCCCCTCACCGCCATCCAATTGGCCAGTGAGGACGAGAGCGGCCAGCTAATTGTGCTTGGTGCTGCCGCAGGGCATGTTGGGACTTGTGGTCCTGGCGCCCATGGGCTGCTCGCTGAGGCCCCAGCCTCCGGCTCCTATAGCTAGAGAGCTGGTCCCGCCTCCTGGGAGCCGGTGGACTCCGGTCAGCCAACGTCTTCACTGCTTGAGTTACGAGACCGCGGCAGATTTCAGAGCCAGGGGAAAACTATGGATTGGAGTTTTCCAGAACCGGAGTTGGATTACTTCTTTGAGCCTCGTTAGGGGAGAAACTTTGGCTCGCTTCTAGATAGCAAGATGACTGGTTCGTTACATCTTCATCAACCGGGAAAGGCATAAATATGGGAATCTGGGAAGAAGTATTGAGGAAGCAATCATCGATGGTCCTTTGGGATAGGAAGAAGTTGAAAAAAAAAGTGTTCAGAGTATGCTAGGCATGATCGTGCATTCGTGCATGTTTGCACTAGTATGCATCCTTACCATGACATTCCACAGTGAGACATACATTCTCGTAAAACTCGAAGTTGGGCGAAAATTGTCCAGGTTATCAGCTCTCAAAAGCCTGTGAAACTACCCCACACTTGTGAAAGTTCATCCTATGCCCCACCCCCGCCCCCCAGTCTTCACTGTACCTGGACCTATTTCTTTTTTTTTTTTTTTTTTTTTTTTTTTGGTTTTTCGGGAGACATGGTTTTTCTGTATTGCCCTAGTTGTCCTAGAACTCACTCTGTAGCCTCACCCTCACAGAGATCCACCTGCCTCTGCCTTCCAAAAGAGTACCGGGATTAAAGGCGTGCCACCACCTCCCGGGCTCCTGGACCCTTTTCTAAAGGGACCCACTCACCCCTGCAATTAGCCTGCATTTCTGTATAAAATGCTTTACCCCAGTCTTTTCACCCATCAAGGTATGAATAAAATACTGTTCCCACTATACAGGTGGAATTCACAGCTGAGATTGAAGTGTCACCGGAAAGCGAGCCTTTTCTGCGGTAGCACTCAGTATCAACTGTTGAGCTAAAGTCAAGCAAGTGTTCAGACGTCTCTGCTGACCTGACGTTAGGGAATGCTGCAGGCATGTGCAGCTAAGCATTTCAGAAATCTGCCAGGTTGAGAAGTGGTATTGCTTTTGAAACGTGCATTTCAGGAGGCACACACACACCTTCAGCCTCAGAACTCAACAGCTGAAGGCCTGCCCCATCTCCATAAAGCTCCAGGCCAGCTTGAGCAACACAGTGAGATGCTGCATTGGGGGGGGGGATCACTTGAAACACTGAAGGGGAATTTGTAACTTCTAGTGAGTGTGACCTTTTTCAGTCACAGAATCATCTTATTGTCATTTGGCTTTTACTGTCGCTTGTACTGCCAGTCTTCAAGCCAGATGCCTTTGTTCGCCTTTGATTACTTACCCAACCTGATCACTGCTTTTTCTCTTTGAAGATCCTACTTTTTAATTCTCATTCGTGCTTTAGCCATTTCCTTTCCCCACCCACATTCTTATTCCCTGGTTGAACTTTAAACAACCAAATCATAACTTTTAAGAGACTTATTTTTATTTACATGTATGTGAGTGTGCATGCATGAGTTTATGTGCACCGCTATCGTGCCTGTTGTCAACAGAGGCCAAGGGGCACCAGAACCCCTGGAGTTGGAGTGACAGACATGGTTATGAGCTGAAAACCAAACGCAGTGCTCTTAACGGCTGAGCCATCTCTTCAGCACCTCAAACTGCAGCTCTTCGATAAGTATTTCTTGAACCAACATTTGTTGGTTTTTGCTTTTTTTTTTTTTTTTTTGGTTTTTCGAGACAGGGTTTCTCTGTGGCTTTGGAGGCTGTCCTGGAACTCACTTTGTAGACCAGGCTGGCCTCGAACTCACAGAGATCCGCCTGCCTCTGCCTCCCGAGTGCTGGGACTAAAGGCGTGCGCCACCAACGCCCGGCAGTTTTTGCTTTTGAGACAGGAGTTTCAACTCAGGCTGGCTATCCTCAAACTCCCTATATAGCTGAGAGTTCCCTTATAGTTATGACCTCTCTGCAACCACCTCCCAAGTGTCAGGGTAATAGGTATGCTCCACTAAAACTGGTTCAAGCAGGGCTAGGAAAGGAACCCAGGGCCTTGATCAAGGATGCTAGGTGAGGACCCTCCCAAAGCAGCTATATCCGCAGTCCTAGCAACTAACACATTTACTAAGCACCTATTCCTGGGGCCGGCATACAGCACTGAGGGAAGGTGCCTTCTTACTCAGGGAATACAAAAGAAGAAACAGGCATTCAGTCAGTAAGACAGCAATCCAAACAAAACTCCGTCTTGGAGCTGGAGATACAGCTCAGTGATTAAATGGCTGCTGTTCCAGAGGACTCAGGTTCAGTTCCCAGCAACTACATGTCAGCTCACAACCATATGTAACTCTAGTTCCAGGGCATCTGATGCTGCCTCTGGCCTTAGAAAGTATCTGGCACATCATGTGGTTCTCAGACATACACGAAGACAAAATACCCATACACATTTAAAATAAAATGAGTCTCAATGCCGCAAACTACACCCCTGGAGCCGTAGCCCTTCACAGCTGTGTTCATGCATGGCTTTCATGATTTGCAAGTCTTTATTCAGTTCCCTAAATTGGTTTCCTCGCCTGAAAGAGAAGGGATAGCTACTTACTGTTTGTAGTAATCTTACGAGCACAATTGGTTTCCAAACTCAGATCTGCCTCACTGTCCTCATTGCAGGGTCTTCACCTGCATTTATGCTGTATGTTTACCCCAGACCATCAGTTTTCACTCCGTTTTCTTCAGGTGACCTCCAAGCCCCATCTATAATTTTCTTCCTAGAGATGTGCTACTTTTTTTGATAATTTGGTTGTTTGTTTTGTTTTTTGAGATAGGGTTTCTCTGTATAACAGCCCTGGCTGTCCTGGAACTCACGTTGTAGACCAGGCTAGCCACAAACTTACATAGATCCACCAGCCTTTGCCTGCTGAGTGCTGGAACTAAAGGCGTTCACCACCACTGCCCGGTTCATTTGTTAACTTTTTTTTTCTTTTTTGGTTTTTTGAGACAGGGTTTCTCTGTATTGTTTTGGAATCTATCCTGGAACTCACTCTGTAGACCAGGCTGGTCTCGAACTCACAGAGATCCGCATGCCTCTGCCTCTAGTTCTGGGGTTAAAGGTGTGCGCCACCAAAGCCCGGCTATTTGTTACTCCTAAAGACTTATTTTTTGACCAGACTCAGAAGCCCATCTCCTGACAGTAGTGTTTTCCGTTGGTTTTCCTCACTCTCTTGGCCAGAAGCTTAGCATGTTCTGCAGCCTCCTTGTTTCCCTTAGTGTACTGTTTCTTCAGAGCAGCGTATGGACATCGACACTTGCCTTGCAGACTAGTGGAGGAACAAGATGCTGAGTCTGGGGCGCTTTGGTCCTGGGCCTTCCTGACAAGTGGACAACAACTTCTTTTGAGAGACTAAAAAGCTTTCAGATTCTGCTAGCTCTTTTGGATTCCAGCAGCCAAAACACAGTCAGTCAGTCCATGAATATCCTTCTCTTTTTTTCTTACACTAACCAAGTCTAAAACACTCAGGTTGCCAGCCACAAACAGACACACTCTTCCTCTCCCACGCTCCCCTTGGTCCCTTACTTTACATCAGGCGCTCTCTGCCCTGGGTCAAGATGCCTTGCTTCATGGGAAACCTTGTTTGTTGTTCCCACCACTGATTCTGACCAGGTAATTCTCCACTCCTCACCAGAGCATCGGCAGCTCCTTCTGTGGCTGGGCGCTTCTCCTAGAAGCTTGTGTTCACCGTCCTTGTGGACGAGTTTCTGACAGTCTGTGGCTGGGGCGGAGGAGATACTCAGCTTCATCTTGATATAACCGACTACCTAGGAGCCACCATGAAAAGCAAGCAAGATGCACTACTATTTAACACTAGAAACCCTTCAAAGGACACAAACTACAGAATACAGAACTCAGCAAGTATCTGATGTGAAACCAATGTTTGATGCATCCTGTATGGCTTAAACAGCTTTCATTAAAAGTGCTTCAACCAAATCTAATTTTGTCCTTACTTTCATAAAGCAAAGCTGTTACAAATTTCAGCGCATTCTTACCCTTACCAAGGGCGCCCTCTGGTGGGCCATGGGAAGCACATACCCAGCTGAAGATGCTTTTGGACCTCTTGGCTGCCCTGAAGCAGACACTGAAAAAGCATAGCCAGCAGTTTGGGAGAAGCAGGCTAGGAAAAATGTACTTGAGCAGAACTTAGGCTCCAATTCCCAAACCTTAAGAGGTAAACAACCACCAAGCAGTGATGGCCCTCACCTTTAATCCCAGCACTGAGAAGGCAGAGGTGGGCGGATCTCTGTGAATTTAAGGCCTGCCTGGTCTACAGTGTCAGTTCCAGGATAGCCAGGACAATACAGAAAAACATTGTACCAAATAAACAAACAAATAGGGAAGAAGAAGAAGAAAAAAAAGAGGTGAATCACCTGGCAGTACAGATACAGGAAATTCAGTTATCTGTGGTACTGCAGCTGTCATCTTATGGCCCTGTATCAAAAAAAAAAATTGTCTACTAACTGATGGCCTATCTTGATTGTAAACTTTACAGAAGGTAGAATCACCATGGAAATAGACCTCTGTTAGTTCTACCAGCAAGCTTCTGGACTGGGTTGAGGTGGAAGGACCACCCTAACTGTGGACATAGCATTTCTCTGCCTTGGGCTTGGGCTGGATACAAAGGGGGGCATGTGTCAAGCAGCAGTACTCATGTTCCTGGCTGTGGACACAATGTGACCAGCCACCTCAAGCTTCTGCCACCAAGATGAACTGTATGTACCCTGGGCAGATGGGCAGCACTAACTAGACTCAGGTTATTTAAATTAAAAAAAAAAAGGGAGGGGAGTGGCTTGGCACATCTCTAACCCAGCACTCAGAAGAGGCAAGTGCATCTCTATCAGTTTGAGACCCGCTTGATCAGCACAGTTCCAGGATATCCAGGACTATACAGAAATAGCCAGTCTGAAGAAAAAAAAAAAAAAAAAAAAGGAAGTGTAGGATAAAAGGACCAGCCAAAGAAACCCACTTTGTCCCTGACTCCAGAGCCAACTCTGCCCCTGACCAACAGAAACCAACCAATCTCTGAGCACTCTTTGAACCCATAGCCAGCGAAACACTTTATCCCTGAACCCAGAACCAAAGAAAATCACCTGACTTCGAAACCATTGCCAAAGAAGCATACTTTGTCCCTAGAATCAGAACCAGTGAAAGAAATACACACTGGCCCTAAAACTAGAGCCAAAAGGTTAAAAAGGACCAGTGAAAGAAACAGTTTGGTCCTGAAACCAGAGCCATTTCTGCCCTTGACCCACTAAATTAACCAATCCCTGGGCAGAAAAACCTCTCCCCAAGGTAACTCCCCCCCCTAAGAAGCCCTATGTAAGTCCCTCAGCCTGTTCAGTTGAGGACTGTCCTTTCCCACCCTGGCAGAGGCACCACTTTTCCTGGACTCCTCCTGTCCAAATAAATCTTTCTCAAGAGTCTTGGGTGAAGATCTTCATTTGCCAGCGAGCTGAGCAAGGCTGTAGCAGAAAAAAATAACTTTTCACTAAGAGATTGCTACATTTCTTCCTTTGTTTTTCACAACAGGGTTTCTCTGTGTGGTTTTGTTTTTTGTTTGGGATGGGGGCACCTGTCCTGGAACTCCCTCTGTAGACCAAGATGGCCTCTAACTCAGAGATTTGCTTGTCTCTGCCTTCCAAGAGTGCTGGAATTAAAGATGTTTATCATCACCACCTCGCTAGATTACTGCAGGGGCTTCCCTGCAGACTGTAGTCAAAGAAGTGTTCAGCTCTGTTAGGATGCTCACTTAGGGGAACGGAGCAGAGCTCAGCTGTAAGGGCCGTCTCTAGGAGAGGAGCAGGATTGCTATACCCTGAAGGGAGACCATTCACCACTGTACCCCAGCTTCAGGTAGCCTGGCTTCCGGATCAATCAGGACACCTTTCTCTCCAGGGCTGAGCTGTCCTATTGCAGCTCCAGCCTCCAGAGTTGTCCTAGGTAGCCTGGCTTCCCAAAAAGTCAGGGCATCTTTTTCTTCAGGGCTGAGCTGTCCTATTGCGGCTTTAAGTAGCCTGACTTCCTGATAAGTCAGGACACCATTGTAGCTGCAGAGCTGTAACACACCTGCTTACATTTTACTGCCAAAACCTGGCACTAACGTTTGCTTACAAAAAGAAGAGAAATGAAGTTGGAAGGGGGGTCTGTTGGAGGAGCCAGGAGTTGGCAGCTGTTAAAGTGGAGGATGGATGTGACCAAAATACGTCGTATACATTTATGAAATGCCCAATTTGTTTTGTTTTTTTGAGAGTCTCTGTATAGCCTTGGCTTTGTAGACCAGGCTGGCCTTGAACTCAAAGTGGTGGGATGAAAGGCATGCGTCACCATACCCTGCATCCAAATCAGCCACTGCTCAGAGATGTCCTTGCCTACTAGTATATACTAGGCCTAGGCTCTATCTCATGCTTTGGCAAAAAAATGTCTTAGGCCAGTTTAATGGTTCAGTGGGTAAGGAGGGTGCTTGCTGCCAAGCCTGATAACCTCAGTTTGATCTTTAGAACCCACATGCTAGGACAGAATGGACTCCTACAAGTGCCCCTGATTTCCACATGCATGCACTCACACCCATGCACAAAATAAATATACACAAAATAAGTGGGGGGAAGTATGCTAATTGAAAAATGTAAGCTTGGGCACCATTTCTCGTTTTGTGTAGTGAGATAGTCTCAATGTGTAGCCCAGGTTGGCCTCAACTCCTGCCTCTGCCTCCATGTGTAATCATAGGCCTGCACTGCCATGCTGGACCAGGGTACCCATTTTTAAACAGTCATAAGAAAAACAAAGCATAGGAACTGGCACTCTACACAGGACTTGTTTTTTTGTTCATTTGTTTGTTTTTCGAGACAGGGTTTCTCTGTGGCTTTGGAGGCTGTCCCGGAACTTGCTTGGTAGTCCAGGCTGGTCTCGAACTCACAGAGATCCGCCTGCCTCTGCCTCCCGAGTGCTGGGATTAAAGGCGTGCGCTACCAACGCCCGGCAGGACTTGTTTTTTAAATTATTCAAAAGTTAATACATCTCCACATCAATTACACAAGGAAATGGTTTGACTTTTCACAACTGCTTTTTTTGTTATTGTTTTTGTCAGAGCGTCCAAAAGCACTGTGGGTCCAGAACACTTATTCTCTCAGTTATTGGTAATGGCTCAGCTTCTTACAAACGACCCTCAGGAAAGACAGGCACTACAGAGAATACTGCCAATATCTCAGAGAACATCTCAGGCACTTCTTAAGGCCCCCAGGCTAGTTCCTGCTGGTGGACACGTTGAAGGACCTGAGATGCAGAGAAACAGAAACAGCTCACGCACAAGGGAAGGAAGTCCAGGCAGAGGGTGCAGATCCCTTGAACCAGGACACACAGTGGGAATCAGATTCCAACAAAGGCTGCTGGCTCATTTTATTCTTCTACCCACCTCACTGTTGCCCTCACCCCCCACCTCTTCTCCAACCACACACGTGGGCACTGAAGATGGAGCAGAAGCCCAAACAGACCATCCCCGCTGGCCCCGCATGTCTCTCTCTTTTTCTTTGGTTTTCCTTTTTTCTGGGGTGGGGGAAGGGCTGGAAGTTGAACCTGGGGCCTTGCACATATCAGGAAAGTGTTCTACCCCTGAGCACAATCCCCAGCCCACTGGAACAGTTCCATGGGGTGCTGTGTGATATGATCGGAAGACATGGATTCTCCAAGTTACACCGTCAGACTGGGACAGCAGGCTCTGAAAGGGACCTGAGCGTCCAAAGCCACCATCCACTTCCACCCTGGCTTTGTCTCTGCTGCGCCACTGTGGGTGAATGATGTTTGTCCGATCCTCCCTAGGCCACATGTGGTGAGGTCACTATGGCAGGCTCGTCCTTTCCAGAGGCTGCTCCAATGAGCCGCACAGTCCTGTCCTTCAGCACCTGGCCTCACCCCTCCTGTTCCAAAAGCCTCTGGCGTGTTTCTAACATGATCTCCTCCATTATTTCTGGCTTCAAGATATCTTTGATCTGAAGAAAAAAGAAAAAGGTATGTGTTCATTCAGAAATAACCATAAGCAGAACATCAAGTCAACTAACCAAGGCAAGGAAGTCTAGCTAATATACACTGAAGTCTGTACTCAGAGACTGAGCAAGGACACTGTCCCAGCTCAGGAAGCAAGCCAGCAAGGTGCCCTGGGACAGCTGACAGAGACATTGTTCAGTTACTCATCAGAAGACAGCTAACGGGCTGGAGAGGTAGGTCAGTGATTAAGAACACTTGGTGTTCTTTCAAAAATACTCTGGTTCAGTTCCCAGCACCCACATGGCAGTTGGCGGTAACTCTGGTTCCAGGGAATCTGATGTTCTCTTCTGGCTTCCCCAGGCACCAGGCATGCATGTGGTGCAGACTTATACATATGCAGGCAAAACACGTATACACATAAAATATTTTTAATTTAAGTCAAGAAAAAAATCTATTGACTTGATGGCTGAATTTTGTAACAGGCAAGATGTAGTGTGGAATGCTATTGTCATAGAAAAATCCTACCACGCCCCCATCCTACACCAAATCCATAGCAGTAGGAGAAGTATCTCAGGGAACAGGGCAGGGACTCATGGGAAGGAGAGTGGAATGTGAAGGACCACAGGAGCAGCTGGCACAAGGGAAGGGAGGTGGGTGGAGTACCTGATGTGCGAGGGAGGCCTCATAGCAGTACAGGATGCTGGTGTCATACAGCATCATTCTCTGAGTCACCAGCAAGACTACGCAGTTCCGAAGCCGGGAGATCACCTCTCGATCACTAAGGGCTACCGGCTACACAGGGACACAAAGGGGAAGGGAAAAGAAATACAGACAGTATCTAAATAAGCAAACAATCCCAAAAGCCACAGAAGAGAGAAATCAGTCATTTCTACCATGGCACTCCATGCCACCCTGTTGGGATAATCTTTACATACCCTGAGTGAAGCTGTGTCTCTGTCCTTCCTTATGTGCCTAAGGCCCTTCTGATTGGATTAATAAAGAGCTGAATGGCCAATAGCTAGGCTGGAGTGGGTATGTGGCGGGACTTCCAAGGAGAGACAGAAACTCTGGGGAAGAATCTGAGGGGCGCCGGGCGGTGGTGGCGCACACCTTTAATCCCAGCACTCGGGAGACAGAGGCAGGTGGATCTCTGAGTTTGAGACCAAGCCTGGTCTACCGAGCGAGTTCCAGGACAGCCTCCAAAGCAATAAGGGGCAAGAAATGCAAGAAATTCGTCAGCCAGACAAGGAAAAAAAATCGAACATGCGCTACATGGCGAATGTTGATTAATATAAACAGATTAGCCGGGCGGTGGTGGCGCACGCCTTTAATCCCAGCACTCGGGAGGCAGAGGCAGGCGGATCTCTGTGAGTTCGAGGCCGGGCTGGACCGACAGCCTCCAAAACAATACAGAGAAACCCTGTCTCGTAAAAACCAAAAAAAAAAAAAAAATATATATATATATTTATATAAATATATATATATTTATATATATATAAAAACAGATTAAATTGTAAGACTAGCTGGAAACAAGACTAAGCTAAGGCCAAGCTTCCATAATTGATCAAAAGCCTGTGTTGTTATTCAGAAGCTGGCAATCCAAAGAAAGACCATTTACACAAGCTGTAATTTTTTTCTGTGTATACATGTACAAGTTCATGTGTGCATATGCTCATGAGTGCACATGCATGGGAAGGTCAGAAGACAACCTTCTGTGACATCCTAGGAATGTCATCCACCTCCTTTGAGAGAGTGTCACTGAACTAGATCTGACCAATAAGGCAGGCAAGCCCTAGGGATCCTCCTGGCTCCACCCCCAAACACTGGGATTACAAGTGCACCAACATATCTGGCATTTTTACATGGCTTCTGGGGTTTGAATTCAGGTCTTAATGCTTACAAGGTAAGTACTTTGCCACCTGAGCCAACACCTGCCCCCCCCCCCCACATCTTCTGTTGCTTCTTCAATGGCTTTTTGGCTATTACACTGTAATTTTTGCCACCGTCACCAACAAAGCTCAAGGCAGCCACTGAGCCATCAATCAGGTACTAATGAATACTCTCTAGATCACTCATTCAAAGCTCAGCAGGCTCGGAAGTCTGCACTGAGTGAACCACAAGCAGCACTCAGGCAGCAACAGCTCACACAGACGCAGTGTCCCCCAAGACACCACCACTGCAGTGCTGCAGCATCTTGGCGTATACTTGTGATGCTCTACAAAGACAGAATCACCCACCACTGCAGTTCTCAGGACATACCCTAGATGTTACCTGGCACAACACAAGGCACAGCAGGGCTTGGCAGATAAAAGCACGTGCTGATTAGACCCCCCCAAAGCCTACACAAAAGCTGGACGGAGCACAACAATCTGTAACCCCACACACCTGTCAGGGAATCTTCAGAAGCTCACAGGCCAGCTCGCAGAGACGGTGTCAGGCAAGGACCAACAGAAGCTTGTCCTCTGACCACTGCATGTGCCATGGCACAAACTCCCCGCCCCCACACAGGACAAGAGATTCCTCCTGCCACAAATACAGTCAACAGCTGCATGATGCTCACTCACCTCCAGGTTTGCAACGAACCCTCCAGCATCCTCATCTTTGTGCTCGGGTGTAGGGTAGATCCAGATGAAACCATTGTTGCCCAGAATCACTGAAGCACCACATGGCAGATCATGGAAATGAGTCTTCTGTCGTTTCACCAGGGAAGGAGAAACCTGGACTAAAACTCCCTGACCTAGCTAGAGAGACAGACCATAAGGTAGGCATGGGGGCACACTCCTTTAATCCCAGCACTCAGGAGACAGAGGCAGGTGGATCTTCTGTGAGTTTGAGACCAGCCTGGTCTACAGAGTGAGTGCCAGGACAGCAAGGGCTGTTACAGAGAAACCCTGTCTTGGAAAAAACAAACAACAACAACAACAAACACCCCAACAACAACAACAGGATCTGAAGCCAGGCAGAGGAGACAGCATCTGGAAGGCTAAGGCAAGAGACTCACTAATACCAGACTGGCTGAGCTATCTAGTAAGTTCCCATTCCCCCCCCCCAAAAAAAAAAGAGCAAGAAGCAATCAGTGAGATGAATGCAAAGTAGGATACAGAATACACACCCTGACACACCCCATCACTGTCCTTTCTGTGGATACTGCTGTCGCTCAATGTATACAGGGCATGCACTTTGCAGAAAACATTTCCGGCCCATGGCTATTTATGCGTTCCAGAGAAGGCAATAGTCAGGTGGGTGAGATGGCAGTAAAGGTGCCTGCTCCAAGCCTGACAAGCTGAGTTCAATCCCCAGAATCCACACAAGTAGATAACCAGCTCCTATAAGATGCCCTCTGACTTCCACACATATGCCATGGCACACACATTTTAATAAAAGAAAGTGGCCATCAATACTGTTACTTCCCTTTGCCTTCTAATCCAGAGCAGGTGTGCTGGCCCGTTACAGAAACTAGAGTCAAGAAGGAGCCTCCCAATGACCACATAATTCCAATCCATGGCCCTAGTTTGGATCTTAACCTCAAATTCCCATGCCACCAAGAGGTGTTGGCAAACCCTTGACTGGTCAGCTCTAGGTCCACATACCAATAATAGTTGTCTACAGCAACAGACTGTGGAGGTCAGCACACACAACACATGTTCAAGAACATGGTGACAGCTGCCACTTCATTAAAGGACACAGCTTTTTTATTCCTCTCGGAAAATGAAAAGCCAAGAAACAACTACACCCTAATGTGTTCTAGGAAGCATGTTGTCTTTAATGTGTCCTCAATAATGGAACCTCACAGAGGCAGGCAAATTTCATTTAGAGGCTCACACGGGAAATCCATCTTTGCTAGCAGTAATATCCACCATGTTGACTAGACTGCAGACACAGCAGCCAGCCAATACCAGGTTGCTCATCTCCCAAAGGGGACAGAACCTCACAGCCCCAAGCAGAGGGGCTCTGCCAGAACAGGCTCTTCAGAAGGAAAAGGATTTAGAATGTCAATCACCCTTTGCCTTGCCACTATTAGCAGCAACCCCCTCTCCCACCAGACTCTTCTAGGACGGTCAGCCAGCCATCAGTCCTAATCAACTAAGTTCTGTGTTGTTGCTTTTTGTTGTTTTAAGATGGAGGGAGGGGGGCTATGGGGCCGGAGAGATGGCTCAGAGGTTAAGAGCGCTGACTGCTCTTCCAGAGGTCCTGAGTTCAATTCCCAGCAACCACATGGTGGCTCACAACCATCTACAATTCAATCTGGTGCCCTCTCTGGCAGAACACTGTATATGTAATAAATAAATAAATCTTTAAGAAAAAAAAAAAGATGGGGGCTATAGGGAGAGGTTGTCTCACTATATAGTCTAGGCTGGTTTCCAATTTGTAATTCTACTTCAGCCTCCATTGGGCTGGGATTACAGGCCCATGACACCACACCCAGCTAACTACCAGGTCTTTAGGTTAGCATGCCGGGAGCTATGGGGATTCGGAACTGAACTTGAAGCCTCCCAAGCCTGACTCACCTTCCCATATTTCAGGCTCCGTGTGTGCAGAGAAACAGCTCCATCTGAGAACACTGCCTGGACCTCCGCCTGCCCAGGTGATGAAGGAACAACAGTAGCTTGGCAACCCACGCTTGTGTCACCTGCCTGCGTCCAGCTTGCCCTTCTGTCACTGACGGCCCACCCTGCCTATCTTCCATGACCCCACGGGACATCACTGACCTCACCTCCTCCCTTGGTTGGCAAGAATATCGTGACACACTTTTTTCTTCTCTCTGGGGTAAATGTTCCTACCATTTAGAAAACTTGAGGGCTGGAGAGATGGCTCAGTGGGTAAAGACACTTGCCATCAAGCCTGACAATCGAGGTCTACCCCAGGCCCACATAGAAGAACCAACTCCTGCAACTTGTCCTCTGACCTCCACATGACAGAACAGCAGTGATCACACACATAATTTAAAAAAAATGTAATCGGGGCTGGAGAGACGGCTCAGAGGTTAAGAGCACTGCATGTTCTTCCAGAGGTCCTGAGTTCAATTCCCAGCAACCACATGGTAGCTCACAACCATCTATAATGAGGCCTGATGCCTTCTCCTGGGGTACATGCATGTACACAGATAAAAAACTGTATGCATAATAAATAATTTTAAAAAATGTAATCAAAGAAAAAGTTTAAGATAAAAAAGGAGCCAGGTGGCATGCCTTTAATCAAAGCACTCAGGAGGCAGAGACAGGCAGATCTCAAGGCCAGCCTGGTAACAGAGCTAGTTACAGGACAACTAGAGCTGTTACACAGAGAAACCCTGTCCCCAAAACAAAACAAAAAACAACAAAAAGAAAAGATAAAAAAGGAAATTTAGGTCTTTGCCAGGAAATGATGGCCTATGCCTGAAATCTCAGTACTCAGGAAACTGAGACAGCAATGCTGTGTTTGAGGTTAGCCTGAGGTACACAGTGAGTTCCAAGCCATCCTGGGCTATCCTTCTTTAAAAGAATGACAATTGTGTCTAGCTTGCACCATGGGTCACAAGTTACAAAACCCAGAATACTGTTCTGAGCTAAGGAGAAAGCAAAGCTGCAGCCCAGCCCTGGACATCTGACCAGAACTCAGACCCTCTAGTCAGAGAGCACAGGCACGCTCGCAGCCCTGTGGTCAGGATACGCTGATGAGGTCGCCTTCCTGTAAGAAGCCTCTCATGGCCAGCTCATCCTCCGCAGATCTCCTCCTCTGAAACACACAGGAAAACGGCCACGTGACACAAGCCCCACTCTGAGAGCTCTTCCCACTCCTGCCTTTTGCTGGAGGTCTGTGTGGCCCACGGTATTTTAACATGAACTATGACAAGAGGTAACCTGAGCTTCTGGAGAGCAAGGGAGGTGACAGAGCTCTCCAAGCGGGACCCTCCTGGGCTAACATCCAGACACTCTGCGCTCACTGAGCCTGCTTCCGCACTCACCCACACTTCCACCAGGCTGTGTCTGCTCACGTATCTCCCTTCACCTCAGAGCCCCAACCCCACTCCAACCCTCAGACCCCAAGGGCCCTCCTATGAAACAACCCCTCTGCTCTCCATGTTTTCATTCTCCTGCCTCCATAGGGCTCAGTTATCTCCTGTCCTCCACCAGTCTATAAGCTCTCTAAGGGCTCAGGTGTGCCTTCTTTATTCCGACACTCTCCATAGGATTCAGCTCAGGGAGCCTCTCTGAAATGTATGATGGAACTGAACCATAGAACGGACAAAAGGCTGCCACTGTCTGGAATAACCATGTGCCATTCAAGTCACTGAAAAGTAAGGACAAGTGGGGCTTAATGGCACATGACATTAATCCCAGCACTTGAGAGGCAGAGGCAGGCAGATCTCTATGAGTTCCAAGACAACCTACAGAGTTAGTTCCAGGACATCCAGGAATACACAGAGAAATGTTGTCTGAACCCCAACCTCCTGCCCCCCAGAGAAAGAAAAGAGAAGAAAGAAAGCAAAGGCTAACGCTTCACAGACCCCTTCCCTGTGCAATGCACCAAGAAAGGAAATTAGCACCAAGGCTCAGGAGCCTCTCTCCCCAGCTCCGTCTTAGGAGCCCATTCCACAGGTGTTTCTGGTTTCACCAAACACTAGTTGCTGCCTATGTCGGGTGGCCAGAGCCAGGAGAAAAGCTACCAGTGTAAACAGCGTTCTCTGGTGGTGCAAAGGCCACAGCTCGACTGGGCAGCTCTAGACAGGCAGGCACTCACCAGCTCCCCTCCCGGCAGGTTCATGGAGGACAGGAGCAAGACGGAATCCAGTCTGGAATTGGTCTCCACTTTCCACCTCTTCTGCTGAACCTGTAAGGAAATGTAGGGCAGCATCTCAGGCTCCTCCTTCACACAGGCTCACAGAATGAAGGGCCCATCTCTGAGCCACCAGCCTCCTTCACCTTACCTCTGTGATTCTCCCCACTACAATGTCTCCTACCTCTCCATTGTATCTGCAAGAGAAAGCAGAAGGTTACCTGGTGACCAGCAGACGGACCAGACCAAGCACTGTTAGAGGCTGGTAAACGATGGGACTTCAGAGTCTCTTTATACTTCATTAGTTATCCTTAAAGAACTTGCTCATTGCAAGTCATTCTTTAGATTGCAGTCCTAACTTTGCCTGATTATTTGACAAAAACACAGAGTACTTGCCTCAGAATAGGGATGAGATAAGTTCATCACCAAGCAATGGAGGGAAGGAGAGGCTGAAACAGGCCCCCATCCATGGGGGCTCGAGCTGCCTCTCCTCGCTGCCTGCCTGGCTCAGGCACTCTACTGGCCCCTCACCCTGACTCCAAGGGCAAAGGGCACTTTGCTAAAGGCCAGGCACTAGACTAGGTCTCCTTCTGCTCACAGCTCCCTCACAGCTCCCTCACTGAGTTTTAATGGTGAGAGTCTGGGGGCACATCTGTAATCCCAGCTCTTGGGAGGCAGAGTCATGAAGCTATCCAGTATCAGTAGCCACACAAATGGCTCATGAGCACTTCTAAAAGTAACTACCCAAACTGAAGACTGCCAGCAGCTGCTTCCCCTTCTCCACAGCAAACTGCTCTCCCATTCACTCCCAGGTCAGTAAGTGCTTGCCACACACCCCATCCAACCTCCCATGCTTAGGCCAAAACCTTGGAATATCAACCTTGATTCTGGTCACACTCTGGGATAAGCTCAGCACAAATCCTGCTGATGGTACCTTAAAATGTATGAAGGAAACACAGACATCCAGACTGGAAAACAGGAACTAAAACATCTCTATTCTGTTAACTACTCTTAAACACATCAGTTACTGCAAGTGAGCAATGTTCCTACAGAGAGAAAATCCCAAAGAATAAAGTCCAACCCCCTTTCATGTAAAGACACTTAGAAAGCACAGGAAGCAGTCACTGTTCCTCAGTGCTGTGCTGTCATCACTTAGTTATTTTGTAAGATAAATACAGGTCCCTAGCCTAGCACCCTGTCCCCCTTCAATGTCCCCGTAGCAGCTACAGCAAATTGATTAAGACATAAGATACAGCCGGGCGTTGGTGGCGCACGCCTTTAATCCCAGCACTCAGGAGGCAGAGGCAGGTAGATCTCTGTGAGTTCGAGACCAGCCTGGTCTACAAGAACGAGTTCCAGGACAGCCTCCAAAACAATACAGAGAAACCCTGTCTCGAAAAACCAAAAGACAAAGCCACATCACAGCTTTCTTCTGTCCACACAACAAATGCCCACTGCCAGGCAGGGTGACCAGGATGACCACCTGCCCAGCTCAGTCCCAGATCTCCTCCTTGACCACTCAGTTCCAACCCTTCTGGACTAACCTTTCTAGGCTGCTCCTAGGAACTTGGCCCTGTGTTAAGCACTTTACATATAGCACGTAACTGAAACCTAAGGTGGCTATTTTCTTTACTCTGCAGAAAAGGAAAAGCACCAGAAGCTTAGAGGGATCAAGGGACAAGAGGAAACCTTTAAAATCCATGCTACTACCTTTCAGTGTCCTAGTTTGCTCTCTGTTGCTATGATAAACACTACAAGCAAAAGCAACCCGGCGAGGAAAGGGCTTACAGGTTATACTCCATCTTGAAGGAACGCCAAAGCAGGAACCTGGAGGGCAGAACTGAAGCAGGGACCTAGGGGAACACCACTTGCTGGCTTGCTCCCCATGCTCAGTCTCAGGCTCAGCCAGCACATCCATTCTTCTCTCCCTGCCCCTATTAGTCAGGCTCTCTCTACATAGCCCTGGCTGTCCTGGAAGTCACCCTGTAGACCAGGCTGTCCTGGAACTCACAGAGAGAGATCCGCCTGCCTTGGCCTCCTGAGTGCTGGGATTAAAGGTGTGCGCCACCAACGCTCGACTCAGCCAGCATTCTTCCCCAGGCCCACCTGCCCGGGGACGGACTGGGCTTTCCCAACAGACATGTCCACAGGCCAATCTGATGGAGTCAGTTCTTCAGTTAGGTTCCTGCTTACCAGTAACTCTGGATTTGTGTCAAGTTGGCAGCTGACGGCAACTATGACAAACAGGTGAACTCACTGAACACAGCAGGCCTGTAACAGGAATGTGGGGAGACGGAAGAGGCCTGTGTACAACCCAGATGTTCCAAGAAAGAGCTCCCCACTGTCTGTGCTCACCTGGTTTTCAAGGCTTTCACACAGATCAGCTTGTTCACTCTCTCCACGGAGCCAGCCACAGACGCAATGAGCTTCTCCTCCCCCATGTATGTTCCATGGCCCCTGTTGAAGGAAAAGACCCAAGAAAAAATACCATGTTACGCTGAAGGTGACTTCTCCCATCTAGAACTTTCTGGAACCTCATGGGCTCCTCCTGCCCTGAGCCTGACGCACTCCTCAGAGAGCTACATGGGCATCTCCTCATCCTAAAGAGGTCACTCAGAAGTCACTTTCCAACATCCCAGGCACACAGATGCCCTCCCCACTGCTGCCTCCTCCACCCTCTTCCCAGCTGCTCCCCGACCCTGCTCTCCCTCATCCACCGCAGTTACAACGTTCTGATGTCATTTCTTGTTTCTGTCTCCTTGCCAGACTGTAAACGCCACCAGGGCACAGGTTTTCAGTTTTGTACCCCAGCCACACAAGATATGTTGAAAGTATGACGAAATGAATTCTAAGATCTCTACCATCCAACAACCTTAACCTTAAAGCTCAGAGGCAATGCTACAAACACTTTAACCTCATTTATACCAAAAAAAGGAAAGGAGAGGAGGGGGAAGGGGTGGAGGAGGGGAGGGGTGGGGAAAGGAAAAAGGAAAAGGAAAGGAAGAGAACCAGGTTTGTTAGCCACATCTTTGAGCCCAGAACTTGGGAGGCAAGAGCAGGGGGATCTCTGAGTTCCAGGCCAGAGTGGTCTACACAGTAAGTTCCAAAACAACCAGTGAGACCCTTTCTCAGACTTTCTCAGAGGGAGAGGGTGCATGAGGGAAGGAGAGAGGGAGAGGGAGAGAAAGAGGGAGAGAGGGAAGGGGGGGGGACAAGAGGGAGAGAGACTGGCTACCTAACACAGATTGACCTTTGGTTGTAATACAATGGTGGATTTTGCTTTTCTGTCCTACTTTTCATACAATCCTCACTCCCCTACCAATTACGGCTGTCACCACTGTCTTCAGAGTGAGGATGTCAAATTCAGCAAGGTGCTACTGCTAATGATAACAATGACAGCAGTTGTCCAGCTCCACAGCCTGCCCTAACTACCACAAGATGTCTGCCTTACATGCTAAGTGCACCAAGCACTGTATGTTGGCTTAAAAAACCCCCAAAATCACTGCTCTAAAACCAGACTCCTTGTCGGGCGTTGGTGGCACACGCCTTTAATGCCAGCACTAGGGAGGCAGAGGCAGGCGGATCTCTGTGAGTTCGAGGCCAGCCTGGTCTACAAAGTGAGTTCCAGGACAGCCTCCAAAGCCACAGAGAAACCCTGTCTCGAAAAACCAAAAAAAAAAAAAAAAAAAAAAAGAGGTAGTTCCAAGACAGCCTCCAAAACAATACAGAGAAGCCCTGTCTCGAAAAATAAAAATAAAACCAGGCTCCTTGTTGAGGTGACACTGAGGAAGATGATCAAACGAGCAACGCCCACTGTCCCTGCAGAGGGCCCTAAGGACGGTCCCGCTCCCAGCCCTCCACAGTTCTCCCTCCCCAGGAAAGCTCAAAAATCTTGTTTCAGACCAAGGACTCAAAAGTTTCGGACGCCATAGATCAGAGGGAATCAGGGGCTGAAACAGGTTCACCCAAGAAGAAGGGAGTCAGAAGCACGAGGCTCGGAAAGGAGAGGGCGACTGTGGATGCTGAAAGTGTCCCGGGTACCTCGGTAATTTAGACTCAAGGTGGCAGGAGGCCTGGGTTCCGGGGCAGCAGGCCACGTGCGGAGCGCTCTGCAGCCGCCTCCTGAGGCCTTGGGTCCCCAAATCCTCACGTACCGCATGAATCCTGTGTCCGTGGTGATCGTGTCCCCCGGTACCACCAAGTGTTTCTTAGAGTCGCGCCCCAGGCTCTCACTGAGAGGTTTGCGAGCCTTAGGAAGCCTCATCTCCATCGCCATCTTGGCGCCAATGACTTGCGCAGGCGCAGCTCTACTCTCGGTGCAACAAATCCCGCCCACCTTCAGAGCAGTGACCAATAGGAGTGCTTGGTGTAGCGGCCATGTTGACTATTGGCAACTATTAAGTTAACCTGAGGGAGGGAGGAGGGGAGGAGGGCGACAAACTGCCATATTTACTATTGGCAAGGAAGCACCTGTGGAGTAAAGAATTTTCACGTTGTAATGGAGTGTGATGTTGATTTGGTTTGGTGTTGGGATGCTGGTTTTGTTTTTTGTTTTTTTTTTGAGAAAGGGTCGCGTGTATGGCTTGCCTCAAACTCTGATTTTCCTGCCTCCACCTTGCAAGACCTGGGATTACACAAGTTTGAATAGGTTGTCGTTGGTGGTGGTGGTTTTCGATTTTGATTGGTTTGTTCTTGTATGTCTATAAGAAGTTTGCCTGTATGTATGCCTCTGTACTACTTGAGTGAGTGGTGCCCACAGAGGCCAAAAAAAAAAGGGGGGGTGTCAGATCCCCTGAAACTGTAGTTACAGCTGCTTGTGAGCCAAGCTGGGGATGCTGGGGATCAACCAGTGCTCTTGACCAATGAACCATCTCTCCAGCCCCAGGTTTAGGGTGTTTTTTAGACAGGTCTCCTGCGGTCCAGGATGATCTCAGACTAGCTGTGTAACCCAGGGTGCTCTTGATCTCCTCCTCCACCACCTCCTAGTGCTGGGATCACATGTGTGGACCATCATGACAAACTGTAGTGTGAGTTTTTGCTCAGACTATCCCATATCCATTATTCTATTTATTGTTGGCCAAGTCTGGAGATTGAGATGTGAACCTTGAGTTTTCCATCCAACTCTAAACCACTACAATCTAGTGTTTTATAGACTAGAGATCAAGGCTTGGAGGCAAGATTTACAGAAACCACCACCTGCGCAGAAGGTAGAGCCCTCTGAATACTGTTCTCAGTGGGCCTCATATTCTCTGTTAGAGTTACCCCTTAGGTGCTGGTTTGGGTCCTTGCCTATTGCCCCCATGGCTCTCACTGTACTTTAGTAAGGACCTCTTCTGAGTGAGTGTAGAGAGTATTTCTTTTGGGAGATGACTGTTGTAAAAGCCAGCCACATGTGGCAAGGCAAGTGTGTTTGTTAGGGAGGCCATGTGTACACACAACACAAAGATCTTTGCTTATACTCTCTCACACAGCCTAGCGCTCTCTGATCAGATGCTGTTGAGTAGTGAATGGAAGATGGACAGCTGTCTCCTGCGGCTTTACTTGAGCCTTCTGTTGAACAGAGGCATTTCCCTGGGCCCTTCTCCCCACCATTCACTAACCCCCATTTCTCCTGGTGCTTCGAGGTTTGAAGCTCACTGAATTTGTTTGTCTTTTGTTTTTTTTTCTTTCTTTTTTGTTTGTTTGTTTTGAGACAAAGTCTATCTATGTAACCCTATCTAGCCTAAACTTGCTAGGTAGACCAAGCTGGCCTTGAACTCACAGAGAGCTGCCTGCCTCTGCCTCTGCCTCTGCCTCTGCCCCTGCCCCTCTGCCCCTCTGCCCCTGTGCCCCTGTTCCTGCCTCTGCCTCTGCACCATCATACCCTGCCTCAGCCCTTTGAATTTCAACCTCACAGAATCAGCCAACATAGTTCTCCACTCAAATGGGACCCTAAAGAAAATTAAACCAAATTTTTATGAATTTCCAAAGGGTCAGCAGTCCTTACCCTAACCAATGCTCACAACTACATTTATCAAGAAAGCAGACTCTGCCAGAAAGTCAATCACATGGCCACTAAGCAGCCAGAGCCACCTTTCTCCATGCCTGGAGGAAGCCAGCTAGAGTCCAACTGTTGAGTCAGCTGTGGCCATAAGAGGGCGATGGTATCCTTTAAGACATCCCAACTCAAGCTTCAAGGTTCCATCCTTCAGGGAAAGACCTTGCTCACCTCAGCACTCACAGGCATAGAGCCTGTGGCAATGAGATGACATTGAGGATATCTAATTATAAAGGAGGAAATTGAAGTCCAGGAAGGGCTAGAATTCACAAAGCAAAGGCAGCCAGCCTCATTCAATTACATCTGCTGCCCATTTTCTCCAGAGCCCTTGCCCTTAACCAAACATCTTCCAGGTGCTGAGTGCTCGCTGATCCTGTGCTGAGTGCTCACTGGCCTTTTCCTGATGCTCACTGCCCCTGGGCTGAGTGCTCCGAGAGCATGTTGCTGACTCTTCAGTCAGCTCATTCAGGAAAAGGTCATGCTGATTCCAATGATTTCCTGAGGATACTGACTCCCCAAAACAAGCCTAGTGCTAGGACTAGAATGCAAGACATTAAATTTCCATACAGTTGCTCTCTCTGCTCCACACTTACCCATTCAGCAGCAAAAGGTGCAGTTGGCACCTGGAAACAGCTGCACATCTGGGGTGCAGTGGAAACCTGGAAACAGCTGCACATCTGGGGTGCAGTGGAAACCTGGAAACAGCTGCACATCTGGGGTGCGGCGGGCACCTGGAAACAGCTGCACATCTGGAGTGCGGCGGGCACCTGGAAACAGCTGCACATCTGGGGTGCGGCGGGCACCTGGAAACAGCTGCACATCTGGGGTGCGGCGGGCACCTGGAAACAGCTGCACATCTGGGGTGCGGCGGGCACCTGGAAACAGCTGCACATCTGGGGTGCGGCGGGCACCTGGAAACAGCTGCACATCTGGGGTGCGGCAGGCACCTGGAAACAGCTGCACATCTGGGGTGCGGCGGGCACCTGGAAACAGCTGCACATTGGGGTTTGTGATCTTATTAAGCATATGGATTCAGCTCTGCTTTTTTGTTTCTGTTTTATTTTGCATTCATTTGACAGCTTGTGCTTGCATGGTTTTACACACACCCAGGACAACCTGCAAGAGCAGCCCTCTCCCTCCACCTCTCAGGCTCCTGGGATCAAGCTGTCAGGCTTCACAGCTCCACCCCCACCAACTCATCTCCAGAAGTGGAGTCCAGAAGTCTGTGCTTTCAATGGCACATCAGGTCTTCTCTATTTAGTGTGCTTGTGTTTGGATGTTTGTATGCGTACATATGTGTGCAAGTAAATCTGTACAGAGGTCACAGGCCAACATTAGGTATTGTCCTCTGTTGTTCCCCACCTAGCAGTAAGGAGACAGACTCGGCTCCACAGAACTGTCTTAATCTTTTTGGAAGCTTGACATAGGCCAGGAGGGCTTGTGACTTTGACACAGAAGACAATTTCAGGACTAACCAGTGTGAGACAGAATTGAAGTTTTTTTTTTAAGATTTATTTATTTATTATGTGTTCTGTGTGCATGTATGCCTGCAGGCCAGAAGAGGGCACCAGATCTCATTACAGATGGTTGTGAGCCACCATGTGGTTGCTGGGAATTGAACTCAGGACCAATGGAAGAACAGCCAGTGCTCTTAACCTCTGAACCATCTCTCCAGCCCCCAGAATTGAAGATTTTATCAAGTCATTTTAATAAAGACTTTAAGCACAAGGGTTATGTTAGGAGAAAGATTCTATCAGAAAGTAAGACACACCCAGGTATGGGCATGGGCCCCTCAGGGCAGAATCAAGATTCCTTTGTTTAGCATTAGCCATGTATACCATTTTGGTGGCTTTCATGTTACATACATGTCAAAAGGTTGCTAGGAAAACTTACCCCTTTTTTCTCTCTTTTGAGTAGTAAAATAGGGTGGCTCTGAAGATGCTTTGGTTGGAATTATGATCTTGATAAAGGGAAATCAGGAGCCACTAGGATGGTACAGCAGATGCAGAGCATGGCCTTGCCCTACAAATGGGGTTCCTGATGAGATTCCTAGAACACTCAGGTTTATAGTGAAGGGAGAGAGGTCTGAAGCAGATGTTAGCTGTCCTGGAATTTTTCCTTCTGTGTTGTCAAAAGGCTTGAATCAGATTCTCATAAGAGGGCCTCCTCTTCTCTCTAATGTCCCCTTAGTTTCCCCTGCCTTTCTGTCCCGCCAACTTGGAGCTCATCACTTCAATCAGCTACCTCTACAGCACTGGGGTTACAGCACTTGGCATCATGCCATCTTTATATGTGGGTGCTGGAGATCTGAACTCAGGTTTTCAAGTTTGTACAGCAAGCATTTTGCCAACAGCCAACTCCCAACACACACACACACACACACACACACACACACACACACACACACACTACACACACAGCAGCAAAAGGGAGCTTTTAAAAACCAGATCGGATTGGAGAGGTGGCTCAGAGGTTAAGAGCACTGACTGCTCTTCCAGAGGTCCTGAGTTCAATTCCCAGCAACCATATGGTGGCTCACAACCATCCATAATGAGATCTGTTGCCCTCTTCTGGTGTGCAGACATACATAGAGGCAGGATGCTGTATTCAAAATAAATAATAAATCTTAAAAAAAAAACAGATCAACTGGTCGGTGGTGGTGCACACCTTTAATCCCAGCACTTGGGAGGCAGAGACAGGTGGATTTCTGTGAGTTCCAAGCCAGCCTCGTCTACAGATCGAGGGCTACACAGAGAAACACTGTCTCTAAAAGCAAAAAACAAAACAAACAAACAAAACCCAGATCAGCTTATGTCATCTTCCTGATTAACACTTTGGGAAGTCTCCCTTGACACCAAGAATAAAATGCAAATGCAGCTCCTCCATCTCCTCTGTGTCTTCACACACACTGACCTCCCTCGGTCCATGAATGTCACCACCCCTTGCTAGATTAAGATCAGTTTGTTGTGGGCTCTTTGTGGGTGGATCCTCCTGTCACAAGTGTGTTTTCTTCTCCCCATGTCCATATCCTCCTGGAGAAGGTGCTCCCATCCTCCTTGCCTGGACAAACCCTCCAGTTCCTCTTTCGACACTGATCCTGTTTCACTTCTTGACACTGAGTTTTCTTGTCTGCTTATTGCAGTCTTTCCTAACCAGAAACAGACTTCTTCTGAGAATGGTCCAAGACCCAGGACTTTTTCTGTTGGTTCGGTTTGGTAGTTGTTTGCCTGCTTGAAGACAGAGTCTCATGAATCCGAGGCTGGCCTTGGA